TCAGAGGAAGGAATAGCAGCATAAGGATGAGTAGTGCAGATCATTACTCTCTTCCTTTCCATCCCACTCATCTGTTTGAAGGTCTCACTTTGCTCTGCGTAGTGGGCATTCCTCCTTGAGACTTGGATATCATTGGCCATATTTCTAACCTCTAGGGGCCTCACTGTACTCATGAGTATTTCAATGGGAAATACTACAAATTGGCCGGCACCTAATTGATCATTTTTCTCAAATAGTTACAAAAGAGTGTAGCAGTTTCCTCCCCTCCCATCTGAAAACACCTTTTCCAGACTAGCACAGTCATGGGTGATAGAAAAACCGTAATTTTCCCGTTTTGCCTTGGCTTTTTCAGCTAGTTTCCTGGGTGTTGGTGGGAACAGCGCTGGCAGGGATGTTCTGGTTGGTGGTTGGGTTTCTTTTTCTCTGCCATATTTTAAAGTAAGTTCTGGCAGTACCAGGAAAGGATCCAGGCTCTGACTTCTTGAAACCTTTCATATCCCCAGAACTGCCCAGGTTTTGGCCTTGGAAAGACCTACAACCACTACTTACTAGTGGTGCGACCTTCAGCGCATGACTCAGACCCAATGGTCCTGTTTCTCCACCTGTAATGTGGCCATAAAATGCCCAAATGTTTTGGTCAACATGAGACTTCAAGAAAATGAATGTATTAATGCTTGGAAAACAATTGGCACAAAATCGAGTGCTCAATAAATGTTGATGGTAGCACTATAATCATCTTTATCCAAACAATTACTATACTAATGGTGTAGTCTTGATATTATGGTTCACACAGAATGAATGCAGAGTGGTGGGGGCTGGATTGTGTGGTCCATGCTAACCCCATGCTCCTGCAACTGCATTGATCAGGCCTGCAGTTAGTTATCTGGGTGACTTTGGGAAAGTCTCTTTCCTTTTCCATGCTTCGATTTCCCATTTGTAAAATAAGGATATGGAACTATAGCAGGGTAACAAATAGGTTTAATCTCATATGTCAACTCCAATTGATCGGTAGTGGGTACCTAGAAAGCAGACTTAGAAGGATTCGGTGGCCTTGGCTGGGTGTGGTAGATAAGTTTGCCCTCATCTAGTAGTAGTGTCTGAAATGGGCAGGGAGGCCAGCACAGCTATCCTGAAATTTGCCAGGCCTAGACTAAATGCTCTCCAAGGATCTTCCCACCCCCCCCCCAATCCTCTGGTTCTTTTTAGGGGGTTTCTTTGATGGGCCTTTGTAACTAGGTGACATCCTATTGACCCAAATGAATATTCAGTGTCATCAGAGTGAAAAGCAGGTGTGGATCGTGGAGTCTAGCATCTGAAAGGAGACAAGTGGATTATGAAGCCGCTTCTTTGAACGGGATGGGGGTTTCTTAGAGACCTCATTGCAATTTGAGCATAAAAAAAAAAACACAAAAGCATTTTCATCAAATAGGAAAACAGGATAGTTCCCTGAAGTTGCACATATAACTCACAGCCTAATGATGCCACGTGGAGTTGGAATATCATTTGCTAGTAGGTTTCTGTCTAATAGCATTTAATGTTTGAGTAAACTGCAAACATTTATTTCCTGATCTACAACAGAAAGGTTTCTAACAGTTGTGCAATTATATTAATGTGTGCTAGAGACATACCATTTTGGAAATGGATTTAGCCACTTCCTTTGATATTTAGGCTCTAAGACAGAAGTGTCTTATTTCTGGAGCAACTTGGTTAACTCGAGTAATGAGACTTGATTTTCCTGAACCTTTGGGAGGAAATTGTGTGAACCACTTCGCAGTCTTCCATTTTTGTAATGAAAATAAAACACCCAGCTGTCCACTGGCATGTTATCATCATAAGCACGAGATTCTTCCTGCAGGGTCAGGGATTTCTGCTTTCATGTTAAAAGCTCCTCAGGTATAGATGTGACACGAGGCCTTCTTTCACTGTCTCTGTGACAGGGTGCATTCTGCAAACTGCGTCCTTCTGAGCCTCACTTCACACAGCTACAGCATCCCTTGGGGCCTGCTCTTGTGACTGTGCTCTCTGGCAAAATGAAAATCACCAGACTGTCGTCATAGCGTCCCACTAAATATGATGGGGAACAAATACTGTATTTTACATGGCTTTCTCAGAAACCATCAACATGATTTTGTTCACAGTGTACCCTCAGCAAGGCTCTATGATGGAAGGGCATTTGTATAGGGGGAATCTACGAATATGACAGCAGCAATAAACAGCTGAAACTAATCTCGGAGGCGTTTGCAAATTGCCCCTCATGAGCTGCAGTGGTTGTGAAAGATAATTTGTGGTTCTCGCAGAATACCCTGCAAATTGGGTCTTTCATCTGCGATGTTTCTTACAGTTAAAACATTTCATTTCTCATATTAACAAATGATAAGTCTGCATTTGTTAATCTAAACAATTTGATTTATATTTCTCTGTGCTGAGAAGCTGTTGACATTTCAGGGTAAGTAATTATTTTCATTGCCAACTGCTATTTGTGGTGATCGTAGGCAAAAGATAGAAATCCGAACATACGTAGGCACTGTTTTCATCATTTTCTGTAAAGACTACTTATAAAGCAGGGATCTGTTTGCCTGAGTTATCCTCCACACTTAGAAATCTAACAGGACGTGGGTGTTGACAAGTGAGGGTTCTAGCCACGTTCAGGGTTTTCTGTGGTGTATTGGATGCTTTCTCTTGTGATTGCTGTGGGCAGGGGGACAGGGTTGACCGGCAATGTCACCAAACCTCTGGCAGAGCACTGTGCACTTGCAGTCTCAAATCACAGCAGTGAGAGGAAGCACGCTTATTGGCCTCAGTCGTTCCCAGCTTACGTAATATCTGTTCAAGCATCTCACGGGGTGGCTGCCAAGACTACATGGCAAATGCTCATGAGAACACCTCTCACTATGCCTGGTACATAGCGCGAGCTCCGGAAACATGTGGTACAATAGGGACAACATATAAAGAGACCGTCTAAATTTCCTTTCTCATATTGCTTGCTTGGCCAAGGACGCACAGTCCAGGGCAAGGGAAGAAAAGGTTTTTTTCAGTACATCCTGAGACCAGTTGCTCAGCCTTGTCCACTGCAGTGGCACACAAGTCAAACCAGAGAAGAGGCACCAGGACTGGGGACTGGGCTGATGCAACCGCTGCCTACTCTGGGGTCTCTTTTTGATCTTAAAATCCATGCTAATGTTTCAAGCTACTCTTTAATATATCCAGGTTTGTTTCAATATGCAGAAAAAAAATTAACATCAAAGTTTATGCTTTTCCCCCAGAAAAATCATTTAGCAAAATTGCTGCTCCCAAAAGATGGCCCATCATTAGCGTGTGAGTGTGTGGAGGGCCCATACCGGTTGGGAAGCGCTGTGGGCAGGGGTAGATGGCCTCTGTGATCATTAGGGGCATGCGGTGTGTGTCCTGCAGGGTGGGCTGTGGTACGTTCACCGGTCTTTTCCCCTTGGCCTCTTTACACTGCTGGGCAAGGCTCTGGCCACATTCGACCTGCCTGTGTGGACTTCTCATTCCCATTCCCGGTTAGGGAATGGACTACTGATTGAGGATTCAAACCAGTTTTTACATGGCCTGAGGGAGTGAAGGCAGAGCCAGTACCCTGAATGGCAAATGTGTTTTATCCTTTGAACCAACTTCAGTTGATTAGTTTTGGTTGCCTACAGTGCTGTCTTAAGACGGCATCTGTGGTGCATCCAGGCTCAGCTGGGAAGAGTGCTGGGATTGATTAGCAATGTCTTTCAAGGCCTCTGGAGGGGCTGCTTGCCCTATATTTGCCATTGTCTGCTTTGGGCTTGTTCTTAACTCTTCTGTGTAAGTCATTTAATACTAACAGGTGACTAAGTATGAGATGGGGCATCATGAGAGAGAGAGAAAGCAGGCAGATTCCACTTTAAGAAAACCTAGCATGAGAAAAATGCCCATTTACAAAATGCATAAATCTGGAGCCAATTATTGTCATTACAGAAAGATTCCATGAAAGGTTCCTTTAAATAGTGAGCTCCCCTACTGCATTAAAATGATGATTCAATTTACAAAAATTCACTTTGCATGCAACTCCTCAGTACCATGTCTGTGGAGGAAAGTGAGCCACACCTGATTTTTTTTAAGCTACGGCCTAAATAATGTTCAGGATGGCTGCTGCTGCATAGCTTGAGTCTCTTGATAATTCCCACTCTCCTCAGACTTCCTTCTTACTTCCTATCCTAGAGTGTTGAGTAGACAATCTGGGTGGTGGTCAACAGCTGCTGGCTTCCACCCTGCCACGGCTGCATTTCATTAGTGGGTAAACTGATTGCTCCGAGTTTGTTTATGTGTGGGTGTGGCAGTACGAGTCTGTACACTCCGTGCGCTATGTATATGTAGATACAGATACACACAAGCCATTATTTCACTCTCAGCCCACCCTCAATTCATTCCTGCTGTGAGAGTTATACATGGAAGGTTCCAATCGCCTCGTGGATATGCCCTTTCGGTAATAAGCACCCCGAATTCTGGCTCCCCATCCTCTTTGTGTTTGTTGATATGTTATTTACCCTTGCATAAAAAAACTTCCCCAGACCCTGGGCCTGAGTGCCATTCTCCAGATAGGGAACCCTCCTCTTCCTCCATGGCCTAGAAAGCCCCAAATGGTTTTGTTATTTAGAAAATTAAATATAATCTGGCTGTTGTGGCAAGCTAAGAAATTCTCAACCAACAGACGCTCCCATTAAATATATAACATACACAACATCTAAAATTATCACCGATCTAGCCTGAATTTGAATTATAGAGGCAGTCAGGGTCCCTTGGGTAAGATCGCCAGCTTCTTCCCAGGCACTTGAAATTGGACAGTTTTCCAATGGACCATAAAGCTCCCAGGAATGCTGACTGGCACACGTATTTGATTTCTGTGCTCTGTAAAAGCAACTTAATGCAGGGAAGAGTACCTTAAAGAGATGGTGTCTCCCCTTTCTCTGTGTATGGCCTTTTCCCACATAGAATAATTCTAACAACTTCTTAGGAACAGAGCACAAGTATCATCTGTATTTCACCTATGGTATTTTGAAAATCTCAACGTACATTTATTCCCAGGACTATTTGTTGTTGTTGTTGTTTTGTTTTGTTTTACAGATGCATCCTTTTCATCTTTTCTTTTGGAAAAAGCAAACTGAGTCAGTAACAGTGAACACGTCAGCCCTACTCAGACATTTGCCTCTGGTCTAAAGTGATGATTCCTGTTTGAGTTGAGAGCTCTCAGGCTGGTGAGCTGTCACACAGCTCTTTCCCTTCTGCCTTTGCAGTCTCATTGGCTTGAGCCAAGGGTCCCCCATGGTACTGGGCTGTGATAGCTGCATACGTGCAGCCATAGATGGTTGCAGCCAACATCATGAGACACACGATCCCACACACAACCCCGGTGATGACGACGGTGGCCAAGGCATAACGCAGATTGGTTGGCCTGGGCTTGGGCTTGAGCTCACACTCCGAGTCGTCTTGCTCCTCCGTGCTGTGGCTCTCAGGAGGCCCTGGGACAGCCCAGTGGGCATAACCCAGCTTCTGCAGCTGCGATGCCTCCAGACCTCCAGACGGGAAAGGGCAGGGCTGGTACAGCTCATGAGGGATTTTAAGGAGGTCCTTTCCCTTCCAGGTGTCCGGCGATGCACAGATGACACTGTCCATTATTCCCCCTTTTAAAAAACAAAAGCAAAGGGTGATAACAGACCCTGATACAACCAAATTCCAAAATCCTCAGCCTGCAAAATTTTAGGCAGATGGAATGTATAAAGCACCTCCCCCCCCCCCTGGAGTCAAAGAACTTAACAACCTTATTTTATGATTTTAGGATTTCTAAATTGGCTGAATGCTAAAAATGCCACACACTAAATTGGCAATTATGTATGACCAAGAATTCATTAGAAGCCAGGCCACCTTTCCCTTATAAATGCCGAGGGAAAAGCAGTGCAAAGGCTGACAAGAAGGGACACTGGAGGCCAACCTGAGGGCACTGGAGCCGACAGCATTCCTGTCACTCACACCCCTAATGAGCCCCTCCACACACAAAAATCTATTGTACCAAATTCACATCGGAAATCTAAAACAAATAAGACAAACGTGCTTTGTTGTGATGGTATATGTTAATTACAAAGGCCCTATGTCTAGCAAGTCTTCAGCGATGCCAGATGGGGAGGTCACGGTCTTCGAGTGTTTTGCGTATCTGAAGAATTGGCAGTAACATTTACTTAAATGCATGGGATTCGGTACAATTAACCCATCTCCCTAGGCCTTGGAACAGTTAGTACTTCTAGTACCGAACTTTGCAATGGCTTATTAGACCCAGTCTCCATTCTCTTTAAAGCAATTGATGTCCTCGAGTATGTAGAGTACAGGGAGGGTTTGGGTGTCTAGTAATTCTTTTCTAGCAAGGGCATTGGGCTACCAGATTCCATTCTGGCCAAATTTGGCCACCGAATTACTGTGTGACCTCAGGCAAATAAAATTCTCTGACTAATTTGGCCATAAAAACATCAAATTGATATCCAACTTGATAGTATATATATATAAAACACTGTTAAGTAAGTCCTCACAACTCTGCTGTAATGGGTAATTCTTGTCCAAGGTCATCAGGTCCTAAGTGGGCAGAACAACAGCCAATCCCAGCTCACCCCCTTGATTTCAGTTTTTCCCATGACGCTTACTGCCTGTTTCTACTTCCTCCTCTTTGGAACGCATCCTGAGGTCAGCAGAGTTAACACAATGACTAAAGCCTCTGCCTGGGCAGAACCCCACCACAATGACATGTGTCTCAGCGCTCCCCCACCCCCACCCCGGCTGCCATGAATTCCTCTCCAAGGATGGCTGTGAAGCCTGGCACCATTCTTAGCCAAGTTAGATTGGAGAGTCTTTGTACACACCATAGGTGAATTACGAAATTATACCAGAAAGTCACATGCGGGAGGCCATCGCTTCAATGTTATTACAACTTTCCGTTGCTTAGCACTTCAGAGTTTGGGGACTGCCTTCACATACATCCTATCTTAAGTTAATGAGCCAAGTCCTATGTGGCCCTGTGAGTACATGGAGCCAGTTTGCAGTGCAACAGTTATGGTGGCCCAGGTCACATCAGAGTTAGTGGCTATGGCAAAATTCTACCCACGCCTTTTTTTCTGCCACTGTTTGAAACTGAATTGACTACTGCTAGAGACTCTTGGGTCCCTCCTAGCTTCTTCAGGGATCCCCAGACACAAGTCCCAACTCTAAAGCGGTAAGATAACAGAGGAATTCCCGCCTTTCCTGAGCTGATGGGCAGGAGGCCAGGGGTGCAGAGTAGCTGCTCCATGAGCCTAAGGCGCCATCAGGCTGCACTGTGATTAAGGGTCTCTGCCTCGTAGACCATTTTATGCCTCTGCCTGGGAGTTCGTTGTAAGGCAGAAGGCCAGAGAGATAGAAATGAAGTGTGGGGCCTTGAGAAGAAGTAATGATACACAGCCCAGCAAAAGAGCACTGAGACATCCATCAGGGGATCCAAGCCCGCCTGCCATGAGACCAGCAGTTCTATCAGCTGGCTTACAACTAGATTGGAGTGGCGCACCCAGTCGCCCCAGGCTTAAGCACTGTCTTTCTCCAGTTCCACGCTTCTTGCTGCTCAATGTTAGGATGGGAGACATAGACTTTGCACCCAGCGGTGAGGAGATATACAGTCTAGAGCCTGAGACATGGCTGAGGGTGCGGTTGTGGCCACCAAGAGCTGCATGGCCTCCTGTGGAGCTGTGTCCTCAGCCAGGAGTCACCTTCCACCCTTCCACCCCAGGAGGAAAGTGTGCTGACAACGTCTTTAGGGTCCTACTCTTTTCTAGACTCATGGAAACTGACAATAGAAGAAGCTTCAACTTGCCAGGCACTCATTATTCCCCATCTGGCTACTAGTAGCTATTAATCACCCTCTTGGAAGAGATTGGAGCTTGAGTCTGAACATCACTTAGCTGTGTAACCCTAAGCAAGTTACTTCACCATTCTGTGCCTCTGCTGGTTTATCTGGAAAGTGAGAGAGGGGGGAAATAATGAATTTCACCCCCTAAGATTGCTCTGAGGACTCAATTGGATAAAGTATGTCAAATATTTAGTACAATACCTAGCCCAGAATAAATGTTTAATACAGTTAGCTATTAGCATAAAGATGATTTGTTTACTTACAAATGGAGAAAGAGGAATACTAATTATAAAAATCTATGCACATGTTTTTGTGGAGGAGACAGATATTATTAAGTATTCATCAGAGCATGTTTTTTGGCCCTTGGGAGGACAGGAAGATGAAACGTGCCTACACTTTGTGGTCAGGTTGGGGCCACATGACTGACTTCTGGCCAGTGGAGCCAATGAATACCACTTCCAGGCTACAAAAACCCTTCCAAGCACTTTGTTCCCACTTGATGGTAACTTTAGGGTAAAGTTGGCAATGTCAAAAGCTGGAAGGGGCTTACGTCCCTGTAGGACCACATGGAACCGAGCCCCACCCCCAATTCCCTTGAACTCTGATATGAGTGAGCAACAGACTTTTATTAAGTACATACTGAAATGGTTGTCCCATTAATCAGCCTGTCCTGACTAATACCATTAGAGTTTGTATTTATTTATGTGTCTTTTTATAAATGAGGACTTGACCAGTATCTACTCCCTTATTTTACCTGTATTCAATACATCAGTAGTCAGATTGTCTCCTAAATTTAGCACATATTTTGGTTTTCTTTCTAGTTATTTTGGGAGCACCCAGGTCTTATGCCAAATCAATTTTACCTTCCTCCTGAGAAAGGCTGTTGTCTGTGCTGGGCGGCTTAACAATGAGGGGGTGTTGAACTGTGTTGTGGAACCTGAGGACCAGAATGGACCTCAGGAACTCCCTGGCTTAACATTGTCAGTTTTTACCTGGTAACACAGAGCGCTGGGGAGGGGCACTAATCTGCCCAAAGATTACCAGCAACTTTGTGGCACAGTAGAGGGCAGAGGGCACTTCATGCCATCCCATGTTGCTTCTAGTGTTCTGAACCTGGGAACTATTTTTTGTCAAGAAATATTCTTGTTTGATGAAAACTATATTTTTATGATGCTTACCACTTGGTCCAGAACACAATAGCTAATGTCACTTCAACTCTAGATGTAAACACTTTTACTGGCAACCTCCTATAAGAAATAGTTTTGCCACATCCTATAACCCCTATTTTAAGTCAACTGAAGATCAGCTAATTAGTGATAAGCTATTTGCTATGATATTGTTGAGAGGCATTCTCATGCAATATTGCATGTTTGAATTCATGTTGTGCTCTCACCTGATTCCTTCCATGTAACTGCTACGACCATCCAGACTCTGCTGATTCCCTAATTCATGTCTGTAGCTCTCCTGTCTTCCTGAGTTATAGCCTCAAACATAGATCCACAAATTCAACAGCTTCCCTTGATATGTAGTGGGCATCTCAAACTTGACATGCCCCAGATTGAACTCTTGATTTACCACCTCCCACACACACTCACCCATGCCCACCCCCCACCCCCATTCCTCAATCTGCCTCTTATCAGCTACTGGCATCATTCATCTGGTTATTCCTACAGGACAAAAAAAATGAATTTCCCATAATTACTCTCTTTTCTTCATCTCACACTCCAGCCCATTTGCAATTTCTATCAGTTCAATATTCCAAATGTCTCCCAGCATTGATCACTTCTCACCGCCATGGTTTGGGGCCACCACCATCTCCTCCCCAGATGAAAGCACTTTCCCTCTCATCCACCTGCTTCTTCTTTTGCAGCCTTTGGTCAGCTCTCCCTAGAGTCACCAGAGTAACCTTTACAAATGTAATTCGATCATATTGTTCCCTGGTTAAAATTCAAGAGATTTCCATTTCACCTAAAATAAAATCCAAATGGCTCACTCAGCCTCCTCTGCATGTTCCTACATGACTTGGCCCCTGAACGCTTGTGTGGCCTTCTGTCTGTCTGCCCTCTTACTCCTTCTCTCTGCTATAGGCGCTCTTTTGTCCCTCAGTCAAGCCAAGCGTACTCCCTGTCAGGCCCTTTGCACCTGCTGTCCTTTCCCCCAATTATGGCTCATTCCTCCTTACTTCTCAGGTCCTGTTCACCTATGCCACCTCCTTCCGATCTCAAATGGAACCCCCATCCTATCACTTTCTCTCCCCTTACCCTGCCTCATCGTTTTTCTAGCATTAACAGCTTTCTGAAAATATTTGTTATTTTATTTAACATCTGTTTCTACTATCAGAATGTAACCTCCATGTTCATAGGGATTTTTTGTTCAATCACCTTTTCTCAGTGCCTAGAAAGGTTCCTGGCACATAAGGGGCACTCAAATATGGGAATGAATGAATGAATGAATGAATGAATGAATGACGCTTGAAAGTTAGGAGGAAAGAAGTGCTGTGATGTGGAGGAAAGAATGTAGGGTCAAGACTCAAAAGCCATTCATTCTAGTCTCATCTGTGCTTCCACCCTGTCGTCTTGGGGCTTCAGTTTCCCTTTGATAACAGGCTAGCATTGAGTTAGAAGGGGTTGGCAAACTTTTCTGTAAAGGGCCAGATAATAAAGATTTTAAGCTTTGCTATATAGTCGCTATCAAAACTATTCAGTTTTGCCCTTATATTGCAAAACAGCCACAGACAGTAAATAATAATGGGCAGAGATGTATCTCAATTAAACTTTCTTTACCAAAACAGGAGGTGGGCTGCATTTGGCCCTCAGGCTGTAGTTTACTGATCCCTGGGTGATTTCCAGAGCCCCTCATCTTTCATGTTCTAGGATCTCTTGCATTTGACATCTGGTTTAAGAAAAAGTAAGGGTTTTTTGGGGTTTTTTTGTGTTTTTTTTATGGTGGGCTTTTTCTTATAATTTTATTAGTTTCAGGTGTACAAAGCAACATAATAGTTAGACATTTACACCCCTCAAAAAGTGATAACCTCCCTCCCCGAATCTACTACCCCTGTGACATCTTATATAACTGTTACAATACCATTGACTATCTTCCTTATGCTATACTCCACCTCCCGTGATATCTATCTATCTATCTATCTATCTATCTATCTATCTATCTATCTATCTATCTGTTTTTTTCTTATAGTTGCCAAACAATATTATTCTACTCCAGCTTCAGTTGTATAGCGCATTGGTCAGGCATCTACACAGACTATGAAGTGATCCCCTTGATAAGTCCAGTGCCCACCTGGCACCTTCCAGTCTTTACAACATTGTTGATTATATTCCCCATTCTTTATTTTACATCCTCATGACCATATTGCGTCTACTAATTAGCTCTTTCTACTCCCTTCACCTTCTTCCCCATCCCCTCCCCATCCCATCTCGCAACCAAGATTTTTTTTTCTATATCTCCAAGTCTAGTTTTGTTTTGTTTGAACGTTGTTTCTGTTTTTTATTTTTCACATATAAATGAGATTATATGGTGTTTGTCAAAAGTAAGTTTAAAGAGGTAGCCCTGTTGCATCCAACTTCAATAACTGATACTAGCTGAAGTCAAAGGGGTAATTTTGGAGAAAATGTATAGCTGTCAGCTGGGTAGAAGCAGACAAAGAAGGGAAAATGTCCCAAGGAGAGACACCATGCCCCAGTTGAATCACACTTGAAAATAGAATTTGATGCCACTTTGGAGTTGAGCAGTAATTCAGGTAGCAATTGAATTTCCATCCTTCTTAAAGGCCTATAGTTTCCAGATACATCACTTAATGTTGTTGTTAACCAAAAAGTGGAACATTATCTTTATGAATTATATTTGTGGATGACTTTAAACACCTTTTAATGACTCGCTTGCCTCTTTTGCCATACTGTGAAATGACATGAATGTTAGAAAAGCTTCCACCGGCCCCTTGCACACTCCTCAACGTTCCTAATACACAGATAGGGGTTGCCACATAGACATTACTGACCTTTATAGAGAAATGTCTCCAGCCAGAGTTTAAGACTGAGCAAGTGGCAATTGCATGTCCACAGGTTGTCCTTGAGAAATAAAAGCTTCACCCTGGGCATGGATTCTAGGAATGCTCGATCAAGCTGCCGAAGCTGGTTTTGTTGGACTGCAAATATGGTTAGATTCTCCCAGTGCTGACCCAGAGATCTGGGAAGGTGGCTTATGTTGTTTGATGACAAATCAAGCTCCCTCAGCTGAGGGAGGGAATGGAAAAGTCTGCTTTCCATGAAATGAAGGGAGTTCTGGGTTAGGTTTAAGACCTGCAAATGCCGAAGTCCATGGAAAGCTCCAGGGGCCAGATTTAAAAGGGAATTGTTGCCCAAGTTCAATGTTATGAGCTGTGGCACAGACCTAAACGCAAAAGCTGGAAGCTGGTGTATCTGGTTATCTTGTAAATGCAGTGTTAGAGTCTGAGGAGGCAAACCGGAAGGAATCTCAGTCAGGCCCCGCTGGCTGCAGTCTACAGAATTTGAGGGTGAGTGACAGCGGCACTTCTCTGGGCATGCGCACACCACTTGGAGCAGGAAAATCACACTTGAAAGCAGCAGCAGTTCACCTATGATAAACAGAAAGAAATTCGGATAAAAACCAGTTTGCAAGTGGCACGACCATTTGTTCTCCTTTGAATTCACAGGTAGTGTGACTCTGCTCCAGGCCTCTTTCCACAACCTGAAACAGAGGCTCTATCGAGCACCATATTGTGTAGAGTTGGGCTGGACTGGGGACATCCCCAATTTCAATAGCTATTGCAAACTCTCTGGTAACTATTGTCAGAGGCCTTGGAAAAGATAATTCCTCATTAGCTCAGAAATCAGAAGATGGAAGACTTAAGGATATCAAATATTGGGTTGTCGGAAAAGTCATGATGCATTTTTGCAATGAAAAACATAGAAAAAAATATGTCATGACTTTTCCGACAACCCAATAGAAAGATTAAAAAAAATCTTTCTGGGGCACATGTCCTTTGTAGAATTATGTAGGACCAGAAGTGTGGAACAGTGATAGGAAGTTCAGATATTCACTTTTCTGAAAAGTATGCTCTAGCTCAGCGCTGTCCAATAGAACTTTCTGTGGTGATAGATAATGTTTTATATCTTCTGTCCAATATGGTAGCCATTAGCTACACGTGGCTACAGAGCTCTGAATTATGACTACTGTAGCCAAGAAACTGAATTTTTATTTGCATTTAATTTTAATGAATTTAAATGTAAATAACACATGGTACCGGTGTGGCAGATAGGGCAGGTCCAAAGCATTCCTATATTGATGCCCATCTTTGCAGGTGTTAATAATTCCATGAATGATGATTGTCCCCTTTTTTATTCAAGAATAAGAATAATATAATAAACATCCATGTTCCTATAACACAGTTCTGTCAGTCATTCATGGGTGGTCACATTTCTTTCTTCTCTTTTTTTCTTCTAGCTCAAAGAATGAATGCATTACTGATACAGTTGAACTCCCTTGATTAGCACCCAAGTCATGTTTTCATACATGAACCCCCTTTGCTCCCACTATTACTGATGTACCCCACTAGGCTTTTTAAAAAGCAGTCTTAATAACAACAATAGCAAATAACCATACAGCATGTGTTTTGAGCCAGGCACCATTCTAACTGCTTTATATACCGGGGTGCCAAACAAGTGTATACACATGACTTGTATTCATCTTTTTTTGTTTTTGTTTTTGTTATCAGTATACGAGTATATTGAGTATTACAATTTTAACACAGTTTTTTTTTCTTAAAATGTGTATATATTTTTTTGGTACCTTCTTTATTTTAATTAATTTAATCCTCATAACCTTATAAATCTGGTTCTACTATTATCCCCACTTTGAAGGTGAGGAAGCTGAGGCACCAAGAATTGCTTCGAATCACTTGCCCAAGGTCACATGTATGATAAACTAGTAGATTCGTGATTTGAACCTAGGCAGTGTGCTTCCAGAGTCTGTCAGAGTTCTCACCTGCTGCACTTTACAATACTTTTACACACACACACACACACACACACACACACACACACACACACGATACTGTTGTTTTTAAAAACCTACATAAATATAACCCTCAGTATGTTTCATTCTGCAATTCATTCTGCAATTGAATTCTGCAATTCATTCTTTCAAAATGAATCTGTCCATGTTCATATAGAGAGAGCTAATTTATGCCTTTTCATGCTTAGAATATTTCATGGTGAGACCATGCCATTTATTATTTAGGCACTCCATGGCTGATGAGCATTTGAGTTGTCGAAGTTTTTCTTTGTTACAAATGATGCTGCTACGAGCATCCTTGCACCGCGCCCCCTGACCATGTGGAAATGGGAAGACGGTCCACGAGCATCAACAGGAGCCTCTTAGCGGGGTTCAGGGAGGATGCTGAGTTTTCTTAGATTCTGCTAGATCACTCTCCAGAGTAGCTATATCACTCCCTTCTTTTTTCCTGAGACTGACTTTCAAAATATGGCCAACATCTGTCAGGGACATTTGGTTAAATTGGTAGAGGAACTCACAAGGCCACATAATAATATTTAAAACTCTAGATAATTATCTACTCATAAAAATGATCTTGAAAGAGGTTTTTAGTTTGTTTGTTTGTTTGTTTGTTTTTGGCCTTAACTAGGGAAAATGTGGCTGTCAAATGCACTGGAGCCTTTTCCTTGAATTCTTTACTGATGTGAAGCGTGCTTTGGGGCAAGCTTTTTTTGAGACGTTTGGAGGGCCTCCTGAAGGAGATTGCCATCAGTTTAGTTTAGCTCAGGGGATGCAGTCCCCTTTCCTCTTCCAAAATATAGAAGAGCAAAATTCTTGTTCTGCTTTCTATAATTTTGCAAGTAATCGAAATAACTCCTTTCAAAGCCAGATGTCTACCCATCAGAGCTGAGTTGACATCCCGCACTTTAGGTGTGGGTACCAAGCATTAACTAGTTGTAGGAAATCAAATCTTAAATGAGAGAATATGTTTTCAACAGAATCCACTAATCTACTGGGTTGTCAGAAAAGTCATGATGCATTTTTGCAACGAAAACCGGAAAAAATACATCATGCCTTTTCCAACAACCCGATATTAAGGAAAGGCTTGTCTTTCTGAGATTGTAGCCAGTGTATTCATTCTTTCTTTTGTCCCACTTCCCCCTCCTCCAATGAAGATGATATATGAACACCAACCTGAAGCACAGTGTTTCCTATGAAATGGCCCATGACATGCCAACTGCATATCTGATCATGGCTGGGTACGTTTGTGCCCACACCCTTCCTCTGACCCAACATTGCACAAACATAAATCCTCCCATCAGAGAAAACATTTTCTATATCTATGTCTGTTTGTTTTTTTGAGAAAGACAACTTGAAAATCGGTTTCCCACGGACACCTTTTTGAGGGGATCCGATTCAGCTCTCAGGGAACATTTCTAAGGCCCGAAGGGATTTATCATGGCTCACCTTTCATGACTGAGTCTCCACAGGCTTCCTTGTTGAATCCGTAGCCCACCTTTATGAATTTGCAGATCAACAAGCCGAGGGCATGGCAAACTCAGAATCCAGCTTTTCATTCACGTCTGAAGCTTGCCTGTGCTTTTCTTCAGTGCAGAAAACAGTGTTGCTTTCAGGAGACCACTTATTTAAGCCGTTCTTCTCCTGTCTCCATCTGGCTGAGACGGTTTTCCCGTGGAGGGTCTTTTGATTGTGCCTGTCTTCTTTCTTAAAGTGTCGACCTCCCCGAGATCATCCCTGCCTTTCCCATTCAGGCGATGAGCCACAGAAAGAATGTTTGTCAAACCTCGGTGAACAGCTGTAGCCTTCAGACATGACCCCAATGGCTCAGCCTTTTTGATTATTTAATCTGCTTGAAGTCCAGGGCACCAAAATAAAACAGCCTTCTTAATCCTGTCATGGTTTCTGAATTCTGTTGACTTATTAACCATGCTGTGTCAACCCTTGTCGGGTTGGGGGCTGTTCGCTATGGATCCTCGACCTGGGGGTCTAGTGACAGAGCCAGCAGGGTGTGTAATATGAGGACAAATTGGCCTGCTGGAGGCTGACACGGTTTCCACAGCGCACTTGTTTGGTCATCGAAGGCTTATTCAGCCAACATCCGTGGGGATTAGCTGTGTTGACAGGGTCTTGATGCCCTGAAATTCATAGCCATGGTTTCCTTTAGTGGACATCCCAGTCTCTTCTCCCTGGTGCCACAAATACTTCTCAGCTGCTTCTTTGCTTTCTCCTTCCCTCCTCCTCCCACTCCACCCCTCACCCCCTTTGAATTGACCTTTCGGTTCACGTGACTTTGGAAATACTTCTCAATCTTTCATCGTTGCCCTGATTTTTCACATATAAAACAATAAAGCTGCCCCATGTGCGCATCAGGCATCAATGAACTGTGACTGTTCTCTAATTGAAGCTGCTGGGAACTTTCCCACCAGGGACTGGAACGTTTCTTTAAATGTGCAAATCCTCTGCCATTTGCTAAGGTGGTGTTTCAGCGCCTGGAACTGCCCTTCCGCACACCAGAATGTTCTGTGTACCCATGGTGACTATGTAAAGGTTTAAAAAAAAAAAGTGCTTTTCTTGAGCCAGCATGAAGTGGACTCACAGGCCCTGGATGGTTTAACAGAGCAGCTGAGTGTGGGATTTGGAATCAGATGAGAGTGGATTTGAATATGTCTTCACCATTTACCAGCTCGATGTCTCTGGGCAAGTGACTTGCCCACTGGGAGCCTCATGGCCTGAGCTCTAACATGGCAATCCTTGCTTCACAAGATTGTTCCCAAGATTAAACAATACATGTCATGGCCCAGGGTGCCTTAATATATGTTCACCGTTACCCATGAAAATGTCTTCCAGGACTTTCATGCTGCTAGCTTTCAAAGAGTGACCTTGACTTGACAGGTGGAGGGAGGTCCTGACAAAAGACGGGGAGGCCTGTCCCCTCAGGTACCAAGGGAAGAAGGCCCCTTGTGAATGAACTTGAAAAATCAGATTGTGATTATCCTTGGTACCCTGCTCTTTGGGACCCCTCTTCTCTTTTGGCCAAGGCCCTTCCTGTCTCAGAGGACCCAGTGTGCTCATCCTGCCCTCTTCCTGCTCACTCAGCCTGTCACCTTTTGTTCTCTCTCCAACATTCTTTGAGCATGGGAGACACAGTGGGGAAAGTCAGATGGAGGTGACCAAGAGCCATTTAATTCTTAATAAGGGCTAAACAGTTCCATCCTTCCTTCCTTCCTTCCTTCCTTCCTTCCTTCCTTCCTTCCTTCCTTGCATCCTTCCCACCATCCTGTCTGTCTATTTTCAGTGCAGAGAATTTAATAATAATCATTCCTTGATGATACATGACTATCAATGGCCCATGTGAAGTCTTCAGTCATTAATTCACCATAATATAACAGACACCCACTCTAAGAACTCACTCTAAGAACTAGAAAGTTACCAATAACTCACATGGACTTGTGTGCCTCTGTTTTCCCCAGGGGTGGGCAAACTTTTTTTTTGTGAAAGGCCAGATGGTAAATATTTTAGATGTTGAGGGCTGTACTGTCTCTGTCGCAATGACTCAACTTCTGATGTTGCATGAAGCCAGCCATAGACAATCCATAAAAACAAGGGCGAGCCTGTGCGCCAATAAAACCATACTAACAAAAGCAGGCGGAGGGGACCGGATCAACCCACAGGCCACAGTGTGCAACCCTGCTCTGGCCCATCCTGTACCCACTGCTGTCCTTGCTCTGCTACCATCGCCTGTTACCCACCCCAAATTCCACCACCCTGCTGGGCGCACCCACCACCCTATCTCCTCAACTATAAAAGGAGGGGGCTGGGTGGCTAGGATGAATTTTAGGGCCCTCTTACGTGTAAAATCTTGTTGTTCTGGTCAGAATGCCTGAGTGAACTTAAAAGGCCCTGTATTTTCAGACTTTAGGAGGGCTTGGACAAACAAAGCATTTGCGTGTCTCTCTGGATTACAGCAGAGCTACTTAGCTGTGTGCTGCAGGGCCCAACTAGGGTCCATGTCTAGTGGACTCAGAGGCCTGTAAAAGATGAATCCATTGACAGCACAGCTGGTGTAAGAGGTCAGGACACCTGCCAGGAACTGCAGGGAACACCTACAGTTAAGCCAGGCTGGGTGGCTCGGTGAGGAAGCACACATCCATGCTGCTAACACCCTAAAGCTGTGTGGTCTTAGGCAAACCACAGGATCTCTCTGAGCCTCAGCTTCCTCATGTGTAGAATGCAGACAACGCCTGCCTCACTGGACACACAAAGGATCAGTGACACATATTAAGTGCACAGCGCGGGTCTGGTAGAGACCTGGAGAAGACAGTGATCAAAAGTGACACTTTCTATTAGCAGTGTGTATTCTTGGACCTTGGAGAGCCTGGGCCACTGCTCCTGCCTAAAATGTGAATGCCCTGGGAACACGCTGAGAATGCCCACAGCTGTGGGTTCCTGGGAGCAGTGGCTAACTTCTCAAAGGGGTTCTTTAGTTCTCTTTGCACCTGCTGACTAACTGGTGATTAAAAGATGGGCAGTGCACACTTGAACGTCAGAGGACTTTGGATGCGGAGGCTGATTTATTCCATCTGAGCCCAGAGAACAAAGGGAGGGTCCGTGATCTGCATGCCAATGCCCACAGCACCTTCTCTCCCTCCCCTGAGGAACCAGATCTCAGAAGTGGTAAGCCAACTCTGCATGCAGAAAAGTGACCAAGGAGAGATACCAAAAATCTGGTCAGGCCAAGCCACTCCCTAGAGCGGAGGACTCCACTGTGAGGGGCGCCTGGTACCAAGACCTAGTCAAAGTTTGCCACACAGAAACTTGCTTGAGACACACCCTCAGAGTGTGTGGTTACCATGACCCTCAGATGTCAAGAATTTTCTAGCTTCTATATATGTCCTATACACATTTGACCATGTTAAGTCAGAATGTTTCCTCCTATAAATTGGTCTATTTAACATTTCATCTCCCCCCACCAAAAAAATCAACAATTATTAATTCTTAAAATTGAAGATGTCTTCAAATCCAGCAAACGTCTAAATAGTTTTTTCTCCCAGATAGTGTTATCGAGGTCTGACAATTAAGTTTGCAAACTTATTGCAATGATGTTGCTAACTTTTTTGATATCAGAGGGATTATTCATTATGAATTTGTACCAACTGGATAAACAGTTAACCAAGTTTACCATTTGGAAGTGCTGAAAAGGCTGCATGACAAAGTTAGACGACCTGAACTTTTCACCAACAAATCATGGCTCTTGCATCACGACAATGCACCAGCTCACACGGCACTGTCTGTGAGGGAGTTTTTAGCCAGTAAACAAATAACTGTATTAGAACACCCTCCCTACTCACCTGATCTGGCCCCCAATGAACTTCTTTCTTTACCTGAAGATAAAGGAAATATTGAAAGGA